TGTTCAGGAAATTTTTTGAAAATCAGTTCGTAAAGGCCTTGTGTACCAGTATACTTTTTTCCATCTACGATTATATCATCGTTCTTATCCAAATCGATACGTTTGTTACCAATCATCGTTCCATTGTTGCTAAAATAAACACCGTAAACACTATCTATATTGACGGATTTTTTACCGCTTAAGACAGCTCCTAAATACTTTTGTCCCAACGGACCGTAGTGCGTTTCTAAAATTTTTTTGCCCCTCGACCGTTTGTAACTTGTGTCGAACGGACGTCACGAGAGGTGGGTTATCGAAAATTTCTTCGACGGAGAGTGCGTGCGGATGTTCGTACGATAATTCGCGCGGTTGTAAAATTTTGACTGTTTCATTCAAAGTAGCTGGAACGGTGATCGATCGTCTCAAAGTTGATTTAATCGGTGTTGAAACCATGATGGGGGAATTGTCAAACGAAGCGTTTGATCGTTTTCGTTTAAAATTTGGTTCCTCGTACTCTTCCTCTCTCGAGGATAATGTTTCATAATGTTCAAACGAAACGTTTGATTGTTTTCGTTTAGGTTTTGCATACTCCTTCTCTACTGTTTCAGTCTTGATGAAATTAGATTCTTCGCCAACTGTGTTTTCAACAATTTTCTTTAGAGGTTCGACAATGGGCTTAAAATGCCTCTCCAACGCCATATCTTCCTCCATCTTACCAGTTTTCAAAGCGCGATACTTTTTGCGAATCGAATCACTCGTTTTCTCAATCTGTTTTGCTAATTTCTCACGATCTCTAATCTCCATGCTGCTATCCATATTGTCTGCTTAACGTATCGACAACAACTGATCGCGTTATGATGTCGCAAAGTCGTTAAATCATTTCCTATAACGACCATTTGAAATCGCGCTATCCTTATCTATCACTACATCACTACAAATCCATATTTTTGCTGCCAACAAATATGACACAATTTACAAAAATCTTCGTAAGACATGTCGGTGTTTACATGATCGGTGTATATGTGTTTTAGATTGGTACCATCCTGTTTGAACAGGATGAGTAGATTCGCGTTGTCGCGTATAAGATGCTTCGGTATCTTTGCATACGTCTGACAAAGATAGAAGCAATCGACGCCTGCGTGTCTGCCCATCGCAAAGTATTCTCTTATCGTATCCTGCTTGTCACACGCCACGTCATCAAAGATAAAAATGGAATTTGGAAGCGCTTCGCTCGGCGAAAGTACGTTACTGTTATTCGAAAATGTAAAATAACCAATTTCTTCTATCGTGTAAATACGTTCTCCAGGTATCGATATTTCGGTTGCAACGATTTCGAGTACACGTACACGTTCTCGAAGCGTACACCGTGCGGACTTTCCAGCAGGCTAATCAGCACGTTCGTCTTGCCGCAATTTGACGGACCACAAATAATACCGCGTATAGAAACCGGTAACATGTTTCCATGTCGCCGTACCTCTTTTTCAGACATTAACCTTTCGTCGAAATTAGTCACCGTGATTGGCGGCGATTGTCGCACGAACCGCATGTTATCTCCGAAAAAATGAATACGATTTCGAGAGAGCCAGCCTATTTATAGCAGGACATTGCACCGAGACGCTCAGACATGTTTCTGCTTTTGTCGAATAACAGTGACATATACGATTTAACAGCAGAACAGTTGAAGTATATACCAAAGGTCATTCTATTGCAAAAATTTTATAATTGCATAGATTATGTGTGGGATAGACTTCCCGACCATATCAAGACAGATTCGGAAGTTGTGCAGTATCGT